TCGCTATAACGTAATCTCTGGGAGATGGGAGAAATTACGTTATAGCGAGGTTTATGTTCTAGTGAGTTGGGCACACCAATTTGCAATATGTATGTCAAAATGACACTCTTCACTTACTGATTACAAGTAACTGTACTGTTTTACATACAGGTATGATGATGACTAGCAAAGATGTGTACAGGCTTGTTAGTAAAAGTGGTGACAAGAGTCATGCAGTGTGTGTACGTAGTCTACGTGTACATGTGACATGATTAGAACCAAGAGTAGATAAACAAGAAAGTTCAACTCCGGATCTCTCCTGCACAATCTGCAGATACCCCCGCCCATGGCGGAATTTTTTGTTGAGGTCACCTTTTTTCAGAGAAACGCGGACTTTGCCGCAGAGCAGTGTGAGAGCACGTGCTGTAGTTTAAAGCCGGCCAAGTGCACGAGGGAAACCTCTCCAAAAGGCTCGCAGTGCGTGCGTCGTCGAAAAGACTACGTCAACAAAAAATTCCGCCGTGGGACAACCCATCCGCGAGTTGCACACTCTTGTTTATCTACTCTTGTAAGAACCTATAAAAAGTAATGGGAGGTATTGACCCCAAGCAGGGAGTAGTAAAATACCGGTATTTTACTACTCCCTGCTTCCGAGGTGGACGGCTCTGTTTCGAATTAATTCGTCGCGAGAAGGCATGTATGCTGTGTACATAGTCATTTTTATATGGCTTTTTACGTTATGCTGAGGTCTCCGCGCGCCCGGGAACCAGCAAACAGCGCGTTTTAGCGAAAATTACGCTATAGCGGATTATGTTATAGCGAGGAAATTTTGTACAGAGGTGATGCGGTTTCGGCAGGGACATTCACATTTTATACGTTATAGTGAGGTTTATGTTATTGCGGGGGTCGTTATAGCGACGTCTGACCTGTAACGCGGTCAAGCAAACGTTTCATGTGCTCGGCCTCAAAGCTTGCTAGCCAGCATGCAAGGCTGGACGTGTGTCCAGTTCAAAACTATTCTTGACTTCAAATGGAATCACCCGAATGTATCCCACACTGTTCTGCTGTTTCAATCCCTTACTAAATGTTTTCACGGAGTGAAATTATGGATTGTAATCAAATTAACTGGAGGGAATAATTTCTGCAATGATGGGCAGGTTGTGGAGACACCTGATATTGAGTTTCAAGCAATAATAGAAGGATGAAAAGAGTATTTTTACTCCGAGTTTCACGCACCAAGAGATCATCAGAAAAAGAGTTTCTGCTGAAATGTTCCGGCATGGGTTTACGAGTGGCTGCATGGTGGTGCTGGTGTAAGTAGGAGTGGGTGCACGGTGCTGGTGGTGTGAGTGGATAATGCTCTTACCGTGTTCTTACTCAACTCAAACTTCTCGAGACGGCCGCCATGTTCAGCTATGGCCATTCCAAATTTCTTTTTCTCTTCACAATTCCCTTTCAGCGGGATACCTCTTAGCCGCACACATTTCAAGCTGGACAGCATAGCACCAAAGAAGAACATGGAGAAAGGTCAATGACAACTCTATTGCTCCAGCTACAAGAATCCACTTGAGGAGGGGGGGGGGGGGGTACCAGTTTGGGAGAAATCGATTGCACGCACGTCCCAGGTGAGAGACGAGGCATTCATAGTTCTGTCCTAATGTGAAGCAAGGCCACCTGCTTTCAGCAGCCACCTTGTCTCTGAGTTTTGTTGTTGTCGTCGTTGCCGTTGTTGAGTACATCGGTCTTTGTCACCGAGTCTGTATTTTAAATTTAATACTACAGGCGCTGCCCTGGTTTTGATCACGTGCTATTGAGCAGAGAGTAACGGTGGATACACACAACATGAACTGTTGCCATGGGAACATCAGTGACATAAACACGCCGGAGACAACAAGAGTTCCCGTAGCATACGCCTGAGAACAGCAGAGCTGGAAGCTGTTATGTTCGCCCCTGCGTGTACGACTCACACTCTCAAACACTAGGAGTCCTGGAACAAACAACTGACTTGTTCATGAAATTTATAGAAAAGAAAAAGGACAAAGGAACTACAATTTACGCTATAAATTTACGCTATAAATTTACGCTATAAATTTATCCTTGGCTCTTCATCCCAGTTCATTCTTCATGAAACTAAAACTAAAACGAATTTTAGATTTTCTTCTCCGGTAGAATTTTCGGCCTTGTTTTTCCTTCCTTGTGCAGAAACAACAAGAGCAAGAAGAAAACGCTTGCTGAACTCTGATTGGCTGAGAATGGTCGTTTTGAATATAAAATGAGCTCATGGGCTGGGTTTCCCTGACCGTGGCAAAGCGGTTTCTGTGACGTCACGTACACATACACATCAGCAGCCAGATGTCCCCATGCTTAGACCCACCTTGATCCATGTTGCTCGAAAAGAAATGCAAGGACCGACGGCATGAGGCTTCCTGTGCGGGCAAGCCGGACCTCCTCGAGACTAGCGAAAGCATGAACGAAAAACAGAAAAGATAACATACCGTTACCAGGGCCATCACACACGGTACAACCAGGTCGTACCGCCTGATCAGGTGACTACCGGTCCAAGAGGACCGCAACAACTATGAGCAAGGGGTGTTATTCCCAGTCAAATGGCCCTGGATAAGCAGACCACCTGTACACGGGGATCATGTTTGTAAGGTCCCTTGAGTGGTCTGAGCTTAGACAGGTTTCACCCTATGGCCATGTATGGGACTAGCACATCACAGAAGGTGGGTGATGTAAACCTGCAGAATATCATTGGTGCCAGTAGGTATCTGTACCAGAATCCAACTGCATATAACTGTGGGCCTAGAAAAGATAACACGCACATGCACACGCACATGCACACACACACACACACACACACACACACACACACACACACACACACACACACACACATCCCAGTCCTGGTCCTGGTATGCATCGCCATGTAGGTCACTTGTTTCTCGTTGAGCGAGACAAAGACGAGAGGAGGCATGAGCGCTGGTGACGGGATAAGTCGTTTCGCCTTTTGAAACGCCTCTGGCAACTTTGACATTGCAGCTGGAACTTGTCCCTTCCCTCAGCAGTTGGGCGCCTGGTGGATCGGTTGCAGTTGTGGAGAGCAAAGCCCCGGTTTGACTTGCAGCAGTTCACAAATGGGACAGTGAGCGGTACAGCACAGTTTCCGAATGCATAGGCGCACAGGTGAAGAGCCTGTGATAACGTTATTAGCACCATTCGGGGCGGAACTGAACTGAGAACAGTGATGGACTGCATTGCCACCCGCACTCTGAAAACCATCGGTGACACTGGGAGCACTGGCGACTGTTGGCTTGCTGCTGGACTCGTTTATGCCGTTCCATGATGCACTTGTGGCGCGTGATGTATCGCGAGCAAATGCACGCTGGCACACCTCGTAGACTATCTCCCGAGCCGGTTTCTGAGCTGGTTGTATTGCTCGATAAGATTGCCGCCACTCAGATCGTTCCTGCAAATATCAGTACACACACGCGCACACGCGCGCACACACACACACACACACGCACACACACACACACACACACACACACACACACACACACACACACAAACACACACACACACAAACACACACAAACACACACACAAACACACACACACATCTAGCTGCCTTACCGTTTGGCGCTTTTGAACAGCGGTATGAGAAGATCATTTATCGTTCCAGGAACAGCCTCTAGTCTCAGGCAAGTTAGTTCTCGCAGCCTGATCCCCTGTAGAAAGCCAAAGCTGTGAAGTCGATCGCCAATTTCGTCTCTCGGTGAACTGATCCTCAGATACTGCCCGTACATGCACACAAGACACAGCATAACACATTCGCTGGTCTACAGTCCATTCATTGGCAACTGTACTGCTGCCTTTTAAAGTCGGATTTGGGCCGAATTGAGGTTCAAAAACCCACTTTATATCTCAAAAATCTGGGTTTGGGATCTGCTTCTTCATTTGTTTCGCCATGGCATACCTGACCTAATTTTGTAACACCTGGCTGAATTTCTATTTCCCTGTTCTCGGACTTTTGTGGCCTCAAATGTGGCAAGGAGTAATTGCACGGGTCACACAATGCAGGATGTACTGTTGTTTCATGATATCTGCAACTATGTGTGGGAGACACCAAAAAGTTAGGGTGCCAGTTTCCAATGAATGGACTGTGGTGGAGCCTACAATCTAATATGTTGGTCACGGCATGAGCCGCATGTTGGTCATCTCTTTGAACATGAAAAGGCAACAGTGAAGGTCAAGTCTGCATGTAGGGCCAGGAGTTGCTACAGTACAGTTGGGCACCGAAGAACGGAGCGCCAAAGAACGGCCAAGCTAGAATTTCGTCTATTTTTAAGGTAGCAGCCTGGTCGTAAATTTCATACGGCGTTCAGTTGACCGTAACTTTGGTGTCTCTCAATGGATTTGAGTGAAATTTGCACCACACAAGCGAACGGGCCGGCTAGAACCCTCCCCCTCCCCCGTTCTTCGGCGCCCGACAGTACTGTAAGGGTCTCAAGTTCCAAATAACGTGACATAGTGTGGAACTCGTCTCCTCTACCTTGCCTCTCTTGCCTCTCTAAAAAAAGAAGGTCTGGTACCGTGTTGTCTGAAGTAGGAACCGATATATTATTACCGGCTATCTAAAATACTATACTTGCACGATTAGGATTGCATGGTTCCAGCTGACACCATTAAGCGCAAACTACAATGAACTGTATCAAAATTTTCATCAGGACAACATTTCCCAGGGTGCGGGATACTTTTGCATGCTTCAGCTCACATCATTCTCTTAAAACCAGAGGATAACGAGCTGTGTGCGCAAAGTACGTACAATGTATTATAGACAAAACTATCCCAACGGCTAAAGACTACACGAAGAGCCTCATTGAACAGGTCGAGGACGTCGTGAAACAGATGAGATGGAAGGCCTTCTTCTTCCTCAACGGCAGTGACTGCAGCGGCGTACCGGAAGAGAACCCAAACAAGTTCGGTTTCAGAACGAAGAATTGCCCACCTCAGATACCGGAGATGCAGTCGTTTGAAGATGACCTGGGGAAGATGATCGAAACGCTGAAATTCCGGAAGGTGGCAGATGACTTTCAGGATAAGCTCAAAGAGGATGTTCGGAAAATTAAGAGCTCCAAGAACATTATCGTCAAGGTGGACAAAACAAGGAACCTGTACGAAGTCACGCAAGAGCAGTACCACAAGCTGCTGCACGATAACGTCACCAGGACATACAAGACCGCGCCAGATGGTCTCTACGAAGAAATCAACAGCGAAGCCAAGCAACTAGCATCTGCGCTGAAAATCGACGACCGAATGGAGGTGTTACCCAAGGTGAGTGAGTGCCTTCATCACTTTGAAGGATCACAAAGACCGTTTCGAGAACAACCTCCCTTGCAGACTAATCAACCCTGCTAAATCCGAAATGGGAATCGTGAGTAAGAGAGCTCTGGACAAAATAATCCTGGCAATAAAACAAGCTACGAACGCGGACTTATGGCAAAACACAGCGTCCGTCATTGACTGGTTCGAAACCATCCCCGACAAACACAGGCATACGTTTATATGTTCTGACGTGGTGGAGTTCTACCCTTCAAGTAAGGAAGATTTGCTGGATATGGCCCTATCATTCGCCAAGCAGTTCTGCAGCGTGAGCTCCAGGGAAGAAGAAGCCATCAAATACTCAAGGAAGTCGCTTCTGTTCCACGATGGCAAGCAGTGGGTGAAACGGAACAAAGCAAACGGATTTGACGTTGCTGTGGGTTCCTTTGATGGGGCTGAGATCTGCGAGCTGGTGGGTGCATTCCTCCTGTCAGAACTAGAGAAACACGTCGCGAGTGAGTCGATCGAACTGTACAGGGATGACGGGCTGGCTGTGTTGCGGAACAGCTCGGGAAGTGATGCTGACAGAGTGGAAAAAAAAAGAAAAAGGATAACCCAGGAATTCCAGCGCCATGATCTGAAGATCACAATCGACGTCCACCTGCAGGTGGTGAACTTCCTAGACATCACCATGCATCTACAGACTGGCCAGTACAAGCTGTACAGGAAACCTGGTGATACACCTCTGAACCTCAATGCCCTGTATAACCACCCACCGGTGATCATCCAGAACCTCCCCAAATCCATCGGAAGGAGGCTGTCTGACATATCATCCAGTCGTGATGTATTCCAGAAGGCAGAACCGGTATACAGTAGCGCCCTGACTAATAGCGGTCACTCTGAAACGCTGGACTACACCGAAAAGGCAAAAAGAGGAAGAAATAAGAAAAGAAGAAGGAAGGTAATTTGGTTTAACCCTCTGTTTAGCAGAAACGGATCAACGAATGTGGCCAGGTCATTTCTGACCCTAGTGGCAAAGCACTTCCCTGCAGCATCAAAGCTTCACAAGATCTTTAACAAGAACTCGGTGAAGGTGAGCTGCAGTTGCTTACCGAATGTAGCCGCCATCATCCGCGGACACAACAACAAGCTACTCAGCCCACAACAGGAAGACCTGCCATGAAGCCTGACTGCCGTATGAGAGGAAAGTGCCAGACACAGCAGCTGGTCTACAAAGCCGAAGTGACAAGCAGTAATGTTAACCCAGCATGTGTGTACTTCGGAGCGAGAGAGCCAACGTTCAAGACCCGGTACGGAAACCACAAGTACACATTCAACCACGAGCAGAAACGGAAGAGCACTGAACTATCCAAGTATGTCTGGCAATTGAAGGAGAGACATGAAGACTACTCGATCCAGTGGAGTATTTCGGAACGAGCACGAGCCTACAGCAACATCAGCAAGAGATGCCAACTTTGCCTCTCGGAGAAGTTCCGGATCATAACCGCGGATAGACAAACATGCCTCAACAAGAGAAGCGAGCTTATCTCGAAGTGTAGACATGCTAACAAATTCTCGCTCGCAAACTACACTGGGGTCACATGATGAGATACGCGGTGTTTTCACACACACACACACACACACACACACACACACACACACCTTGGACCTTGGACCTTGGACGCGCTGCCATATTCTGGCTATGCGGACCCCATGGGGGGTTGAGCAGGTTCGGAACAGTAGGGGCGATGACGGGATAGGTCCTGTGGTCTACTGAAACGCCGACCGCAATTGCAAACGATGCAGAAGGAGCTACGGTCTGTGTTGGTTGCTCTGGCCGAGCCACGGCTGCACTTGTGACGTTTCATGCCTTGGCGCGATAGCACACAGCGGTTGCAGCGGGCGCAGTGGAAGCTGCAGCGTTTGCAGGACATATTGTTTGTAACCGGTGACTCAAGTGTGTCAGAAGATGCCTCTGCTGGTGATGTTGCTGGCGAGCACTTGTGTCGGGCAAATCCACCCTTGCTCCGGAACCATCTGTCGCACTGATCGCAGTGACAGCTTCCTGGCTGTCGGCTTACGGGTAGGGCACGCGTAGCTGTACACTTGTGTCGCTTCCTGTCACTTACACGACTGAAGGAGCGGTGACAAGTTTGGCACACAACCGGTGATGGTCGAGGTCTGTTCTGCTTGTCTGGCAGACAACGGTAAGCCTGGCGCCATTTGGAGCGAGAAGAGGTGGCCACTTCATACCAGTCGTCAAGTGGTTTGACGTCACTCCGAACACAGTCTCGCCACCTTTTCCGCGGACCATGGGCAGGTCTCTTGTTTGGAAACGAACCGAACAGTAGAGCCTTCGGGATGCGCTCATCCTCCATCCTTGCCACATGACCAAGCCACTCAAGGCGACGTCTGCTGAGACGACACTCCATGTCCAAGGTATCTCCCCAGCGCTCCAGAACTTCAACATTAGTTATCCTGTCATTCCATACATCTTGACGACTGATGCCCAGAATGGTGCGGACACAACGGAGATGAAAGACAGACAACGCATGAACATCAGCCTGTAGCGGTACCCAGCATTCGGACCCATAGAGCAGAGTCGACAGCACACAAGCATTGTACACTGACCGTTTGATGGATATTGTCAGTGTTACATCGTGGAATATCGATTTCTTCAGAGCGCCAAACGCTTTGGCAGCTTGTGCAATCCGGGATGTGACATCATCATGACATCGGCCGTTGCTGTGTATGTTGGATCCAAGGTAACGAAAAGACGACACATGGGCAATCTCCATAGTTCGAATCGCGAGCGGCTCTAGATCGTCGTTAGAGATGTTGGGGCCAGAGACCATGAACTTGGTTTTGGTGGCACTGACGGTGAGGCCAAAATCGCTGCATACATCCACAAATACCTCCAAGGCTGAAACTGCGGCCTGGCGTGTCGCGGCCACAAGAGCGGAATCATCAGCAAACTGACACTCTCAGCTCCAGGGATCTATCACGGCGGCTACGGTGGTGGAGTAGCTTCCCATCTGGCTCGAAGAAGACCTTTGCGCCTACACCAGGGATAGGCTGCACGTGCTGGCGCCAACAATGCATCACTGCCCACATGAAGATGTTGAATAGGACAGGGGCCATGCAACATCCCTGCCGCAAGCCGTTCGTCACAGGGATGGGGTCAGCTTCAACATTCGACAGGCGGAGAGTTGCGGTCACACACACACACACACACACACACACACACACACACACACACACACACACACACACACACACACACAATCTCTCTCTCTCTCTCTCTCTCTCTCTCTCTCTCTCTCATGCACCCTTATGTACACCCTCACTCGTCCTCACTCACATCAAACCACATATTGCGCCATTATCCACACTGGTATCTGCTATGTAACACAAACTACCCAGCCCTTTGGCGTAACACAACTCCCACTGAAACCTACTTAATTCCTGCGTCGGCTCTACATGTATCTCCCATCTTGGTTATAGCAATATACTTCAGCCATGACACTTGCATTCATATTACGCACAGTGTATTCCAGCACTGATGTTATCTCCTCAAACTTCGTGGTTGCGGCACTGCCTTAGCCTACATTACAATCACGCTATATAACTAGCGAATAGCAGTATAATGTTTTATCGTCTGATGAGTGTTTTTGAAACACGAAACTCGGAGTTACGAGAAAAATTTGTTGGTCTCTGTTGTTCTGCCCCGTGTACAATGAATTATATTAAAAAGGAAATGCCTTTCTTGATTTTCCTATTTCTTATTCGGGTACAATACAGAGATCAGTTCAATAGAGTGTAACATTTAAAAATGGACCTTAAGGGCGTGCTTAACACTGCGAAATGTGCAGACATTGATGGAAGTCACCGGCTAAAATCAAGTGTTGCCATTGCCAATCAGGGGCATCGGACATGGTACGGTCACTACGGTATTGACCAAACCACTTTTTGCCCCAAGCACCCCGTAGGGTTTACCGGGTGTTAGTGGCCGTCGTGAGTTCCCTTCCGGAATGGACACGATAATTTACTTCTTTTTTTACCCCGTGAATCAATAAAATACACTGATGATCTCGACTCTAAATTTCCAAAAAAATGTCGGCTCAGCCATCCCTCCCCCAGGGGTAAATTTTACTTCAGATGAATGACAGTACCACACTAAAATAGCTTCCGACGCCCCTGCCAATGCACCTTCTGACAAGTGCAGCCAGAAGGACAGGTCATCCTTACCTTGATGCCGTTGCTGGCTGCTCTGATTGCATCTTGCAGAGGCTTCTGCTGGTCATAACGATTCGACAATTGACAATCAACCAACGACAGTCTCTTTACAGCATTAGGAGGCAGCGACTGCAGGAAACTGCTACAGGTGTCCACCAGTAAGTTGGCTTTCTGAAAGAAGAATGAGGTCCCTACACAAAGATAGGAGAGAACCGAAATCATAGTACTGTAAAAGCAGAAATTTTCGGTGTTGTAATATTTTCGGTATTCGCCAAAATCGGCGGTTCGGTAGAGGGAAACTTTCGGTAAAACCCGTTCTCCAGGTAGGTGTACTAGTACTACATGTATACAGTATCGGTTGTACCGAAAATTTCGGTGCGTTTTATTTTCGGTAAAAATTGTCGGCACCGAAGTTACCAAAAATAAAACACCACCGAAAATTTCTGCTTTTACAGTAGGGGAGAGGAGATCCTCAGAAATTCCTTATCAAGGATTGTTTCAGTGGCTGCAATGGAGTCTGCGAGTGATTAGAAAAGAATTGTTTACTTTCATCACGTGATTGACTGGTCAGAGTGATTTCCTTCTGACAAATAATTTGCTCCGAGTTGTGCCTTTTCCCTGATCGTTTTGTGGAGCATACTGACTGTTTTATTGAATGATGAAGTCGACCATACTCAATTGTATGTTTTCATTGCGGACTTGGTGATTACAGAAGTATGCAACTGACATCCACGTGATAACAAGGCATGTCCATGAACAGCGCGTCCTCCAAAAAACCAGAACACCATGAATTCGATCGACCTGTCAGCGCTGGTGAAGTGAGTTCTGTGGAATCAAGCATTTGTGACTCCGGAGCGAGATTCAAACAGTGCGCATGTCTTTCGTATAATAGTGAACATATAGCGGCTAAGCCACTCATGGTCTTGAAGAGATTTTGTTCCGTGGAAGTAAATTTATCTAGCACACGGTACCTACTTAGAATGTAAATAGATAAAGTCACAAAGTTTTGTTTCAGGACTAGGACAGTGATCGATGAGTTTCCCTTCAGAAAATTGATAGAGGTAACAAGAAGCTCCATAATCATTATCACGTTATGCTGATAGTAACGCTACATGACTACACGGCAGCACAGTAATTGATTACTAGTACGCCATTACATAAGGGGCCATCCGTAAATATAGATATTTGTTTAGAAACGAAAACTAGTCGTTATGGGGGGAGGGGGTTGAGCGCCTGTTCGTTTCTCAAAAAATATCGATGTACATTTTGCACGCGTGAGCATGTCCAGAAAAAAAAGATCAAAAATATCGATACTATGTACCATTTGTACATGTTCGTTTCTCAGGGAGGGGGGAGGGGGTTGAAGAGAAACGACTAGTTTTCGTTTCTAAATAAATATCGGTATTTACGGAAGGCCCCTAAGTGGTGCTGTGGCGATTTCAACCATACAATTCGGACACATGCGCAGACTTACACAAGCAGTGGTCCAAGACGATGCAGCGCATCTTGTGGCAGGTGGCCGAGACATTCAGCATGGCCTGCATGCCGTGACGAGTGCGCACAGCCTTGAGCAACATGATCAGCACGTCCAGGGGCAGCTCAAGGATGTGTGTCTGCTGCCGCTGCAGCTTATCGCGGGCGGAGGCATCCCGTAAATTCCCGACGGTGTTGAGCTGCTTGTTATATTCACTGCTGCCGCTGGTGGAAACTAGAGACTTGACACCAGCATTGTGTGCTGTGTTTCGTGCCCGGTTCTCCTGGTGTGACTGACGGTCTACAGCAGCTTCCGTGGAACACATTTCTTCTAGATTGGTTGTCTTATCAGCCCTCTGTGACACGTCCGGTTCTTCCTTGTGCTTTGAGAACGATGCTGATAAGTGATCAGTGTTCTGCAATGCAGGGTGTCTAGACTCCGTATCTACAGGATATGCCATATCGTCAATAATGAGCTCTGTCTCATTTCCCTTACGGAGGTTTGTTAGATCATGGGGTGGACACACTGCGGCTAGTAAATCAGTTTCTTCTGCTCTGGGAGGCTCGAGATGTGCCTCCCTTCCATCGCGGAGAGGGGACGATGTCCTGGGAAAGCAACTCTGCGATGAGCGCTTCTCAAGAGGCACGATCTGTTCTGCCTCAGCCTGGCCACTCTCGTCGCATACTGCCTCCTCGAAAGTGGTATTGACACTGTCATGCTGACAGTGCACATCGTCAAAGTAGTTATCTTGTACGCTACGACGCCACTGCTCCACAGCGTCTCTTCTTTTTGTTGAGAATGCACTCTCTTCTGCCACGAGGTCTTCGTCTGGCTGTGGTCGCTTGATGGGACCCTTGCTGATGGACAAGTACAGCTGTTCCTCAGCGCTTCTCCCAGAGCTTACGCTATGGATGCTAGTTCCCTCCGCGGCAGTCTCTAGCATTGACCCACATTGGTGGCAGAAGAGATTCCCGGTGTTCGTCTCTTCACTGCAACGCGGACAGAACCGAGCAGGCTCTTTAGCACAGCGCTCCGCATCGGAGACTGTCCGCTCACGGCGTGCGCTACAGTTCCGTCCTGCTGTTGTACTGGACGCATCTTTGTCCGTCGCCTCCCCGTCCGCTTTTCTGCGCTCAGCGCTTTCCGTCGACCTTCCGAGATACTCATCTACGGTTTTCATGTTCAAGTTCCAAATCTCAGCAAGGTCAGAATTCGTGGCCATAATTTTCGAAATGGAAGGAGAGGAAACGGATCTATTGCTGCGAGCTGTAGTGTCCCAAGTCAGAAGTTTAGAAGTTTTGAGCAGGGTTTTTCCGTTGGCGGATAAAACAGCGAAGCGCCAAACAGCGCGCTGGAACACCCAGCTCTATAGGATAGGTTTGGTGAAGTGTCGGGTCAGTTTTGAAGTAAAAGTTATAAGCTGTAATGAATGAACACGGGCGGAGTGAAGCAAAACACTTGTAGTTGTAGTCTTTGTAGAGATGTCTTCCTCGCACTCGACCTCGGAGTGTGAGCTTGGTTTTTGAAACGCTGCGGCACGTGCACCCTTGCCCTTGGCCTTGCCCGGGCCTTGGCCTTGGTAATGGTAGATCTACATGCGCATGGTAGACCTAGTACTACTACGTAGATCTACTACTACTAGTACTAGTAGTAGTAGATCTACATTGTACGTAGTAGTAGTACTCATCAGATCTACTGAGTCTGTGACTGTAGATCTACATGATTGTCATGGTGAGTTGATGGAACGGCAACTGGCGCCCTGCCTGATAAGGTCGGTATGGTGATGCCTACTGCATAGCTCTACATCATGTACATGTATGTACATGTATGTATGTAAAACAGAGAGGTTCCAGGCTGTCCAAGACTAGAGAGTGCCGAGTGGTAGAGCTGGTACATGGTTCAAACATAACAATAGGATTAGGAGGACAGAGAAAGTGTTTTTACTCCGAGTTTCACGCACTAAGCGACCATCAGAAAACAGTAAATTACTGTTTTCTGATGATCGCTTAGTGCGTGAAACTCGGAGTAAAAACACTTTCTCTGTCCTCCTATTGTTTGTATGTATGTATGTATGTATGTATGTATGTATGTATGTATGTATGTATGTATGTATGTATGTATGTATGTATGTATATATGTATGTATGTATGTATGCACAAATAGCGGAGTCCTCCGGATCGATAGAGTGCTCAATGCGGAAGCAGAGCAGTTGTCTGAAGATCCCACCAGTGCAGTTGTCTGAAGATTGCTATATGGCATGAAACTTTAAGTTACGACAATCAAGACGCGTGGTTTTTCCTGTGACTCGTGTGTATGTATGTACTGTATGTATGTATGTATGTGGGCCACTGTGTAATTCGTATCTCTTGAGTTATCTTCTTTCTTTTGAATTATCTCCAAGTCCAAGTTTCTTTCTTCTTTCTTATACATGTACATGTATGTCTACTACTTTTCTTTTGTTGATTTGGCCGTGGTTGGCTATCACCCCTCTCTCTCATTCAATATTGGCACTGCTTGTCACGAGATGATGATGCAATATTAATAAAATTTATGTCATCCTGCAATACCACACCAGTGCAGTGATAATGACAGTATGTGACTATGCCCGGGCGTCTTGCATACATTCTTGATCTGACGTCATGATGATAGACACGTATGACGACACCAGGGGGAGGACACACTGACAACCAGGCCCTGCGAGTCGTATTATTATACCATGATATACGATTCCCTGCTGAGAACAGTGTTCCTGGCTAGGCCGGCTGCAAGCAGACCCCAGAGACCGGTTAGTAGGGTCCCGGTCTTGCCGACATTATTTTTAACCGGATGGGGCCGGCCGGGGGGGGGGGCAATGCCTCCGTTCAGACCCTCTGTCTCTGAGGCTCTGTATTAGTACTACATACATGTAGTAGAGGGGGCCCGGGGACCGGGAGGACTCTTGTACATGACCGTGTATTTAGTCTTGTACTTACCGTAGACATGGTAGAAGAAGCGTGGCGGAAGACGACGTCACGTGGCCTGGCGTGGTATAATCGGGGACGATCTTGCACTGAATGCAGATACCAGTCGTAGTGCAGTGTGACATGGTGACCGCACAGCTTAGCCTTGGCTTGCCGCTTAGGTCTTTCCTCCCTAGACCCTACTGCCTGGCCTACATCATACATGATTGTACTAGAGCACACACTAGGCTAGCTACACTACACTACAGCCTGCTTGCTCCAGATCAGACAACATCTACTACTACTACTAGTACACTACACTACTAGTAGTACTAGTACTAGCAAGAGTATCTCTTGCTACTAGTACTAGTACTAGTAGTAGTAGCGATACAAAAACACGCAGGCCTGGGTCTGACTATCATCATCATCATGATCATGCCGTCTAAAAGTACAACGGTTTTCTTTTTACTTCAACTACAAAAGTACAAGGTAAAACTAAACTTACTACTAAAGTATCGCCGAAATCGCACCAACCTCTTCTTTACCAGGTAAAGCCTAAACTAAAGGCTAAAGCCTAAGTAAAGGCTAAACTAAAGAAGTACTCAAGTAGAGAGCAGGCTACGCTGCCGGTGCAGCAGTGTGAACTGCGACTGTGTCCGTAGACCTACCACTACGTTATACTGACTGTATGCAGACTGCGGAGAGTGACAGAGACACTGCGGCCCGGCGGAAGACGTGCGAAGAGGCGCCGAGCGGTCGATGCAATTATTTTTAGTTTGCAGTTCCACCCGGCCTGGTGTTGTGCTGTTGTGATCGCATCGTGTGCAATGCATTCGCATAGGTTCGAGGAGGCGATGCGAGATGCCGAACTGCTGGAGCTACCCGGTCAACTGCAGGCGATGAGCATCAAACACCGACAGGAGGTTAGGGAACACTGGTGTATCGGCCCGCCCAGGGGAATTGTCAGTCGCCTTCCGGGGTCTGCGCGCAGTGCGATTACATGGATATTTGTTATAGCCATGTATTGTTGCTCGGAGAAAATCGACGACTTTACGTACAGCACAAACAGCAAAGAATCACCCACCAAGGTCCATACTTTGGGGTTCGGAAAAGTGAGACGGTTCGCTTCCACCCGTATCCGTGCGGATAGTGTGTGTATTGAAAGCAGCATATCTAGCCTAGGATGTGTTTCTGAACAAATCATACTCCATAGCAGGGCCCCGAGACTTGACTCGAGGCATTTCTGTAAAGCCCCTCGAAGTGTCTAGACGAGTAAGTGAGAGTGATATTCTTCCAGCCTAGTCCAGGTACCCACAATGGCATTACTAGTAAACTAAGGGTATACCGGTAGTCACCTTGTGCCTGGCTAAACAGTATAGCAAGGGCAACATCCCTGACACAGCTGCACACTGATGTACTAGCTGTAGTGCAAACTGTAATACCACAGTTGTGTGGTTTGCAGCAACCAGGGCTAGGCACCGGCAACCAGGGCTAGGCACCGGCGGATTATGCTCGAAAAGGTGGCAGATTCTGCTCGAAAAGCAGTGAAATTGGCAGAACCATACAAACCTTAGGGCGGGCAATTCCTCGAATTCTGCTCCATTTCTTTATCCACGTACCAAACATGCATGAAACTTACCAGAAAAAGTACCGAATTCTGCCGATTTTTCTGCCGGACCCTAACCAGTGCCAGGGCAAGAGGTGTGAATGCTTACAGACACGCCACTTGCTAGTGAGCATTGTGACATGCCCAAGACTAGGTGCAATGTGTGCATGACACCCCCACCACTGACACCATGTTGGGCATTGAGTCATCCTTGGCACATGATACATGATACATGATTGTACATGTTCCAAGTACACCAGTACAAACTGGTAGAGCTCACCAGGATGCAGTGACTCACGCATGGGAACAACCTGATCTACTGATGATCTAACCATGAATTATGAAAAATACAATCAATTACTTGGCACAAGAATGGCAAGAATGTCAAGACAGGCAACAACTTTGGTTACTTTGTTTAGTTCACTTCTGCCTACTTTTCTGCCTGCCTTAACTGCGCTTACCGAACTACTTTGGTACACCATGCCATGCTGAGCAGTACAAAAATTAATATCTGAAGATATCAATACAAAGGCACACAATGAAAACCTTGGCAAATTAATTCCGTTGTGACTCAGAGTTTCATGGCTGAACCAATCATCAGACAACGATATTGGAATAGGAGGCAGCGCTGGTATATCTAAGTGGCGAGAGGTGTGATAATACGATAGCGAGAGGAGTAATCGCGTGAATGTATACAGGGACAGGCTATTTCAGAGGCAGATGCAGTAGGTGCAGGTCTAGCACTAACAAGTACGCGCTTAATCTCGCTCACACACCACACACACACATACTAACACGCACACACATAGTAACACCCACACGCATGCACACATACACGCACACACTAACACACACACACACACACACACACACACACACACACACACACACATACACCCACCCACAACACCCTAACTTGCACATATCGTATTATCACGCCTCTCTCCACTTAGATATACCAGCGCTGCCTCCTATTCCATTATCATTGTCTGATGATTGGTTCAGCCACGAAACTCTGAGTCACAACGGAATTAATTTGCCAAGGTTTTCATTGTGTGCCTTTGTGTGCGCCGCTCTGCCTGAATCAGGCGTTCAGCACTCTTGCAGAACCAAAGCATATTGCCTCTGTGAAGATATCAATAATAATATGGACAGGTTGCATATTGGCCGCATAAACAAATCATACGGGGTCTTAACCAGAGTTGCTTTCTGGTGGCCCGGTTGAGGCGTTCCTGAATCGGCACATTAAGAGGCTTGAGGTCTTCTTTGATGTTGTCGACCCATCTCTTTTTCAGACAGCAATACAGCAAATTTGGTACTTGTTCTAGTATGTTCCATGCATGTTTGGTATGTGGATAAAGACACGGAGCGTAATTCAAGGAAATGCCCGCCATAAGGTTTGTATTAATCTGCCAATTTCACTCCTTTCCGAATAGAATCTGCCAATTTTTCGAGCATTATCTGCCAAGGGCTAGTAGTTGAATACGTGATCATGGGGATGGTTACATTGACACAGTCACACTAAGGGTACAGACACGGTGCCACCCGGTTGCTGTGTGCACCGTCTCAAGAGCGCTGTATGATTCTGTTTCTCTGTGGCTGTGTCATACTTCATCGCACGAAGAACAACAAGCCTCCCGTATTCCAGCGCCTGCAGCGGTCGCCAGCGACGAATGTGTCGTCGTGGGAGTACGGCCGTTGGTATCCGGGACACTTTGCCAAGCGCGAAGAGGCCTTGTGCTATCAGCCAGGGAGACGCCTAGGCTCTAGTGTTCCGTCTAAGGGTCATTCTCGCCACAGCTCTAAACATAACGGACACCATCATGCTGCGGCGGGTCGTAACTGTCGATCGGCGAATGACGATGTGTGCGGTCGCTGCCAGTGCTGCGAAGATAATCAGGTCAGTGTGACACGTTACTGAATAATGTACAATAAAACATGCCCTAAACGGACACCATTGGTGCAGTAGAAACTGTCCAGAGTGATCAATGGGCAATCAGAGTGGGGCACAATATGTTTACAGACAGGATTCCGCTTGATCTAGGCATGCTCGTTTGATCCATAGCACTTTGGTGCATGGATACGTGTCCAGTTAATACAGGACTCCGCTTGGTACAGAGTCCAGCAAACGCAGGGCTCACTGTCTAATCTCAATTATGTCCTTGTGCAGCCATAAGCAACTGACAATACAGTAAAATCTGTAACTTCAGACCACCGTGACTAGCGACCAGCCTGGTACCACAGATCACCTCGCCAGGCACGGACGGTCTCACATTCATAATATATGGTTGTGTGGTGCAAACCTCTGACTAAGGACCACCTGCCACTAAAGACCGCTTTCTCCGGCCCCAAGGGGTGGTCGTTCGTCACAGGTCTTACTGTAATACAGTACAATACTGTCGTGCGTGATACTCAGAGTCTGTTGCAAACCACCAGTTCTCAAGTGGGAAAGGCCTTCGCGCTCATGGCATTGTATTCGTTGCAATGTTGTATTGCGACTCCGCCGTACCGCTGACGTTGCTGCATGGCATACGCTGTATGCGCTGTGTACGGTTTGCAGTATACGCTGTCATGTCATGTTTTATATATGTGTATGTTTTGATATACATGTACGCTGTTTTGCATGCTATAAATAGCTGGTGTTATTAGTGTTAGTTTTTAATTATTCGATGAAGTGAAATATATACTGTAGAAAAGGAAAGAGTTGTCCTCGTGCCGTGTGGTCGTTCGATCCTGACAATTTAGAGATTCTCAGAGGGTTCATAACAGAGTTGCAACGATCCTTTTCATCCTCTAATCCTTGTCTTACTGACAAACTGATCACATGATGTAATGTAGCACTCACCCCAAGCCTCCTTTTCAGGCACGTAGCAAACCGTATGCTGTTGTGATCTGTTCTGCTACAGTTTTCAAAATGGGGCTTACCAGAGCGGTTTCAGGGTGATATGCGGTACACGCCGGAAAGTCCGCAGAACGTGCAGAACGGGTGGCAAGTCGCCGGCGCACCCAGGCACTATTACTCGCCCCCGCTCTCTGGGCACGGCAGCGGTGCGGGCAGCAGAAACAGTCCCCTGTGCTGCTGCAATTGTCACCGCACCGGCCTGGTGAAGTACAGCAGCAGCAGGCGCGGCCACTCGGCGGCCAGCATTCCAGCCGGCACACAAAATCCACACCTCAGCTCCATGGCTACATGGCTGAAGGGTGCCTCGAAAGCAGGTGAGAACAACATTCTTCAGTGATTTGAGAGGTTAAGATGCACGTTATTTCCGACGTGACGCGCAATTTCACGTCAAATTTGGCGTAAAACTCCAAATTTCGACGTGAGCAGCAGGTCGCTCGCGTTGATTTTTCGACGTGCGAGCAAATAACGCGAGCTGAACTTTCGCGTCACGTCGGAAATAACGTGCATCTTAACCTCTCTATTGTACCTACCTCTACCCTTATGAAACAAAAAACACACTTGCTCACAACTCTCTTCCTCTCCTTCTCTCAAATTGTCTCCGGCAAGAACATTTTCTTTCCATTTCACCAATAGTTTTGGCATGGACGAGCCACAGGGTGAAAACACCGAATTGAATGACAGTACACAGTACAGTACATAGGCGCTTCCACAATTATGGAAGCAAGGTGCTAACCTTAGGCCTGTTGTAGTCCTTGTGATTCCATTAGGAAACATTGACAAGAAATATGCTGCATTGCAGCAACTGGTCGGATTTGGCATGCCCGGTGTGTCCACAGAGGCTGAGGCTGCAATGGATATTCTTCAGGAAAAGCTGGGCCAGCGTTCCGATCTGTATCACACCAACTTTTTCCACGGCCCCGGGACGCAGAAACCACGCGATCTTGAGTTGATCCCCAGGTAAGCAGCCGATAATTTTGTAATTTTTTAGATAAAAAACATTCACGTGAGACTCTCTGCATTCGCCACCTCTTCATTGGGCAGATCTGTCCGTTTGGTTTGTGAATTAAAATAAACACAACAACAACAACAACAACAACAACAACAACAACAACAACAACAACAACAACAACAACAACAACAACAACAACAACAACAACAACAACAACAACAACAACAACAACTCGGCTAGAGGCCGAGTGTTTCGCATCCATAGGAACACCGCCACCCTTCAAGGATCAAAGCGCAGATGCAGCTCCTAAAACGGTGGGAGGTGAGGAGATCAGACCCACCAAAGTGGTCAAAGATCCAAAATCCCATTCACTTCGTCCATGCTTCCCCTGTGCCAGACAACGAGTTCCCAAATGTGGGTTAGATACTGTAATGTTTAACCCGTATTGAGCTACCACTGCAAAAGAGAATACACACTGTCAGCGACCAATGACCTCAGGCCCGGGCCATACCCATGCCACGTGACAGTATGCCATGCTGGTACAATTCGATGCGTATGGAGAGATCACCCTGAGCAAAGACCAGTTTTCC